AATTGAAAGTATATTGCTGAAATTTTTAATAATAGTATGAGGGTTCTGTGCCAGAATAGAGCAAAAACATAAGCCTAGAAAGCAAACTTCCTGAAGACAGGGATTTTATGTTATATTCACTACTTTATTTCCAGCACCTGGAATGGTGTCTGGTCTTTTAGTCACTCAATGAATATTTGTTCAATCAAAGAATAATTTTGTATCTTGGAAGATAAAGCTGAGGAATTCTTCTAAAATATAGCATAACATAAAAAGATGGAAAATAGAAGAAGAAAATTAAACCATGGACGATAGATGTAAGAGATTCCATTTTGTATGTAATGAGAATTATAAAAAGTGGTAACAGACTGAACAGGTAGTAGTGATTAATTAGGGGAAAAAGGAAACTTGGATCGCAGAGACTACAGATTGAAAGAGACTAGTGAGTACTAAACAAGAAAAAGTATAGACATAACATTTTTCTAATAACATTTTTCAAATCAGAGACTAAAGAGAAAGTTGTAAACTCTTTAAGCAAGAAACAAAAATAAGAATGACAACATGTTAATGTCATACTTTGTTCCAGAAAGGATTTTGGTTGATCTTAACTGGCCAGCTATCTTTTCTGTCCCCTCCCCTATATTTCTGAGAAGCATTGTTGGGGTCTCCAACTATGATGACTGAAATACTGAGGAGATGAGAGTGAGTTCATAGGCACACCTGTTAAAAGCCTCCTTCCAGGTTGTCATTAAAATGTGAGTTTTAAAAAATATAACTACCTATTCTATAGCAAATTTACTTTATAACCCTGTGTCTCTCCAATTTGGGGGAAAAAATCAGTGAAGTTCTATTCTTGAGGTAGTTTGTTGTCCTTGTGTATAACAGTGTTTATTGACAGATATGTCCAGTTTTCTGGATTAATAAAAACTCTTGAGCTTTGTTAGTCCCTTAAAACATAGTGATCCAAGAAGTCTTTATGTGTATATTTCTATTCTGCGGATTGATTCATTTAACTCAAATAGTAGATGAATAGCTCCAACCTTATTTTCTAGTTCTGAACTTCTACCTTTATTATTAAAATATTATTGTGTTATGAAATAAGTAGCAAATATTTTTATGTCTTTGAGATATATTTTAGTGAAGTCTAGTGATGTTTCTTGTATATATAGGTATAAAATACTTCAAACAAATAAATTCTGCACAAATATTTGGGATACACTTGGAAATGCTCTGAGTCCTGAAATTATGCTTTTTATGTCATAAGTTTCTTCAAGGTTAATTAGCTCAGATTTCAAGGCACAATCTTAATAGGGTCTAATAGAAGCAGAATAAGCTAGCACTGTGAAATAAAATTTAGAAGCTAGGTGTACGGTGGCTCACACTTATAATCCTAGAACTTTGGGAGGCTGAGGCAGAGGATTACTTGAGGCAAGAAATTCAAGACCAGCCTGGGCAACTTAGCAAGACCCTGTCTCTACAAAAAATATTAAAATTAGCCAGGTATAGTGACACATGAATGTGGTCCTAGCTACTCTAGAAGCTGAGACAGGAGGATTGCTTGAGCCCCAGAGTTTGAGGTTGCAGTGAGCCGTGATCATGCCTTTGTCCTCCAGCCTGGGCAACAGAGACTCTTTTCTCTAAAAAAATAAAATAATAAAATACAAATTAACAAAATATATATATATATATGTGGTGTGTGTGTAAGTGTGTGTGTGTATGCATATGTATGTATATATGTATATACACACACACATTTAGGTAAGGTAAGTAAGTATAAAGGTCCAGAGATGTTTTTATTTTATTTGGGGTGCCAAATTCAGTACTAACTGTCCCCACTTATAGCTATCATTTTTCACGTCTCTTAATTTCAAGAGAAGAGTCATATGTCAATAATGAGCAAAAATTACCATTTCTATTGCCTTTTCAGCAGATTTTTTCTTTTTATCGTTGTTCAAATTATAGCTACCTACTTTCTGTTGATAAGAGACATTTATTTCATACCCTCTTCGTGATGAACTTTGTATATGTTATATGGAATTTCATGGAATGCTTATGATCTAGCTGGAAATATTCAAAAGTTTCATAAGAATACTTAAGAACACATAACAGAGATACCCACAAGAAGATACAAATCAACACAATAATGTACAAGTTGTACCTAAAAGCATTTTGAGGATGAGAACACCCATAATCAGGATCTACTGAGTTATGGCATCAACTTTAGAACAACCTGTCTACTCATTCACTCACTTAATTCAGCAAAAGTATTTATATATATTTGGAGTAAGAGCTTTTTAGGAGAAGAAAAGCATCATGTCTCAGGGCCCAAAGACAAGAAAGTATTTGGTGTGTGTGTAGAACTAGAAGATGACCATGAATGGTGACTAGCTCAGCATGGGGAATAAAAAGGTAGGATGGATCATACAGAGTCCTATTGATCATTGTAAAAAGTCTGATCAAATGGAAAGAGAAACTATTGAGCAGGTAAGAAGAAAGATGTCCTGTTCTACTTAAGAAACACTGCTGGGAGATTGAGAAAGATAGGTCAGGAAATCATGCATCCTCGATTTTGAGTGCCAGAGTTTGTTAGTGACTTGTATAAGAACAGTTTCCACAGAGTATTAGCAATTCATAGGTTAGAGTTAGGTGAAAGTGAATGGAAGGTGAGAAAAGCGAAATTAAATGTAATATGGTCAAGTTTCTTGGGAAGTTTTTCTGTGAAAGGAAATAGAGGAAGGTAGCATGACCCAGAGAGGTTTGGTTTTTGTGCAGGCTTGTTTTGATGTGAAAGATATTAAAGCATGCATGTCATATCCAGTAGCAGGAATGGGTTTGTGGAGAAAAGGGAGTGAAGTAATAAAGTGGAGAGAAAAAATTAGCTCAAATGCAAGTAAACTTCTACCAAATTTTTTAAATAATTTTTTTAATAGATGGGAAAATAAACAGGCTCATGTATTTTAAAACTCTATATTGGAAAGATTTATAACTCTTCTCAAATTTGTCTATAGGTTCAATGCAGCTTCAATAAAAATTCCAACTTTTTAAAAAAGAACATAACAAAGTTATTTTGAATTTTATATAGTAATGGAAAAGACCAAAAATAGCAAAGACATTCTTGAAGAATAACAATAAGCTGAATGATTTTGTACCAGATACTGAAGCTTATCATAAAGCTATAAGAGATTATGATTATGGCATGGGAATAGATAGTAAACTAATGGAACAGAATAGAAAATCTCAGAAGCAGGCTTATGCATATTGCGCCTCTTAAGTAATGATAAGCTGGCTTCAGAGCAGTGCAAGAAAGGAAACTCTTTGTAACAAATGGACTGGGCCAATTAATAACTCTTTAAGGAAGAAAAATGAAGTTTATCCTTAAGGTACACCATATATGAAAATCATTCTAGGTATAAAATTATGAAATATTATTAAATGCAAAATATACTATCTTGATGACCTTGGGAAAGGGTAAAAGTTCTTAAATAAGACACACAAAGCAGTAATCCTAAGGGGAAAATGTGATTAAATAGACTACTTTAAAATTAAAAACTTCATTTCATCAAAGGACATCATAAAAAGAGTAAAAAAAGGAAACCAGAGAAAAATTTTTTAAATGTACAACACATCTATATCACTAGTAACCACAAATGACTAGATTAAGTACAAATGCCTACACCTTTATAAGAAAAATCAGACAACTTATAAGAAAAATCAGATAACTAATGAGCTAATATGTCCTTCACAAAAGAGAAATTACCAAGAGTTGGTAGAAAATTGGAAACAAAGCTGTTTGGAAAAACCAAAAAATAGTAGTAGATAGGTGTCTTAGGCCATTTGTGCTGCTGTAACAAAAATACCATAGCCTGGATAATGTAGAAGAACAGAAATTTACTTCTCACAGTTCTGGAGGCTGGGAAATTCAAGATCAAGGCCGCAGCAAGTTAGGTGTGTAGTGAGTGCCCTATCTATGCTTCCAAGATGGCACCATGAACACTGCTTTTTGGAGGGAGTAGACACCTCCTTACATGGCAGGACAGTGGAAGAGCAAAAGGGATGAACGTTGTTCCTTCCAGCTCTTATATAAAACCACTTCTATAAGGCTCTGCTTTTATAACATAATTACTTCCTAAATATCCTACCTCTTAATACTGTTTTATTGAGGATATACATTTCAACAATAATTTTGTGGTTCCACTCAGACTGGGACCACGTAGACACACCAGGTCATCTAACCTGCATGTCTTTGAGATGTGGGAGGAAACCGGGGTACCTGGAGAATTCAGCAGTATATACATACTGCTAGTTGCTAAAATATACCTAATCACGTTAAGTACCCCTGGAGAATTTCAGTATAATGAAACGACCATTTGAATGAAATGACATTATTCAAAGACCTGCTGTGCCTTTTCCTACTCCATTTGGGATGAGGGAGAGGCTGATCATATTTCCCAACTGCAATGCTAACTCCATAACTACCCCGTGTGTCTTTGCCGTGCCTACTTCCTGGCATACCCCAAGCTCTGTCTTGATTTCAGGGTCCAGGAAGGCGCAAGATACAGAATAGAGAATGCGCCATGCACAGTGGGAGGATGAAGTAGGACAGCCTCCTGTCCTCACTTTTTGTCATGTGTGGATGCTCATATTAAAGCTCTATAGCCTTGTAACAATCAGCTTATTTGCTCTGGTAGGGATGGAGGACATGGAGAATCTGTCATTGTGCGACCCAACACTTACTGAACTAGTGCTGTTTAAGTAGAGATACAGGGATACTTAACGTGATTAGATATATTTTAGCATGTAGCAGTATGTAAAACTTCTACAATACTTAGACTTCTGAGTCTTTCATGTATGATTTTAGTTTCTTCTCACTTTGAAAGGTAGCATTTCTGTCACTGTGAATATGTCAAGGAACAGATATTATATGCTTCTCATAAATGTCAGCCACATATAAAGTCTATCTTAAGGAAACCAGTCTCATATTGAACTATGAAAAATTGTTTTTCTTATGTTTTGCAGACTTTGAATAATGAGATGAGTACAGATGATGACAATGAATATGCAGAAGAAAAGGATAGCTACATCTGTGCAGTGTGTCTGGATGTTTACTTCAACCCTTACATGTGTTACCCTTGCCACCACATCTTCTGTGAGCCCTGCTTACGGACTCTAGCCAAAGACAATCCTGCAAGCACTCCCTGCCCATTGTGTCGGACAATTATTTCTAGAGTCTTTTTCCAGACAGGTAACTGTTGTCTTTCATTAACATGATTGTCTAATTTTTTTATCTCTTTGCTGTAGTTCTGAAAGTAATTTATAAACTGTAATGAAAAAATTATTGAAAATCATTTATGGTATATTTTTTGATTCTCCAGTTTACAAAACAGTGCTTACCCAGCTTATAAAACAGTGTTCGAATTATAAAACCCTAGATGAGACTCAATCCCCATCTCTCATGTCCTACTGTACATTCAGACCCTTTCTAAAGCACTGCAGCTCGTTGTTGTTCAATCTTTACTTGGACATCTACAGAGCGTCAAGGAAATTCCATTTGAAGAAGCACTGTTGACTAGTTATTCCTCAATCTGCCTTCCACGACTGCTAATTTTTTGGCCCTTGTTATTTCCTCTGGTGTCACAGAGAATGAATCTGTAAATATCTGAGGACAATTATGCATTTCACCCAAACTCCAAGTCTTCTCAACCTTCTTTTTTTTTTTGAGTTGGAATCTCACTCTGTCACCCAGACTGGAGTGCAGTGGCCGCTCCCGGCCGCTCCCGGCCACCGCAGCCTCAACCTGCTGGGCTCCGGCGATCCTTCCGCCTCAGCCTTCCGAGTAGCTGGAATTACAGGCATGCGCTACCACGCCCGGCTGATTTTTTGATTTATTGTAGAGATGCGGTCTTGCTGCCCAGGCTCAACTTTCTTCTTAATGTTCTTAAGACCTTCTTAAAGAAGGAAAAAGTAAAACTGGAAAAAGGATTTGTTGACCTAATTGTCATGTAAAGATGTAATGTAACAGTATTTAAAACATATTAATGGAGAGATAAAAACCAATGAATGTGGAACATAGAGAATAACTGATGATAAAGGGTAGAATGATAGACTACACTACTGTGTGCTAAATGTTAGGGGAAAATTTTTCTCTTTACATTCTCATCTCAGCCATAGAAAAGCCAAATGAGGATCCAAAAACGTGTCTCATTATTAGTACAACTGAAGAGAATACACAGCGCATTTCTCTTCCTTGAAAGAAATCCAAGGACCAACCTGCATGGGAAAATCAGATTATTAAAGTAAGCTTTGAGTGCCCTCACACAACCAGCTGTATGAAAGCTTGCAAACCTGCCTCACATGCTCAGTAATCAATGAAGTGAAAGTACACCTCTCTGATCTGCTAGCACATGCAGACTGCAGCACAAAATAGCTGCGCTGCATTTAGGCAGATCTAGAGGCAAAGGGACATTTCAAGCACATTGGAGAAATGTGGTATGGATGCCAGGCTGTCATCAGTCTCAAAAGGCGGTTCAGTTACTGGGGAAGAGCAAGTAAAGGAAAAAAAGGGAAAAGCATGGGTAACCTATTGACACTGCTCTTCCTCAGTGTTATCTTTGGCTGACTATGCAAGCAAGCATTTTCTACCAACTTGTTTTGGTAGGAAGCATCAAGGTGGTGTACATAGTGTTTAGACAGATGCTGTCCCTGCCTTCCATGATCTCGTTTAACATTGGTAGGGATTATACAATTTATTTCTTTTAGTTCTTAAAACAGTAATGACTCAAATCTCTCTTGGTTTATTTTTCAAAACAACAATTTCATATTTTCCTTTATTTTCAAAATTAGTGATTCTAAGATAAATCATATTGGGAATACTTATAGTCTCTTTCAATGTAGACTATATATGGTTGTGTTCTGTCATTTAGAGGCTGGTAATAACAATGGCAATATTCTATTTAATTATTTACACCTACCTCAAAAAACATTTGAGATGATTTACAAAATACATTGAATGAAGTAGCAAGACAAGGGAATTATGAATTGAATTTGGAATATGAAGGCCAAGTAAAAGGAGATGGACAGATGCACAGGCCATATAGCCTATACAGTAATTACAGTTAGATTAAATATTAGGCTTTAAATGTTCTGACTACCTAAAGAAAAATAAAAATGAGTCCACAATTAACGACTTTTCAGAATCCATGGAAAAAAGCATTCCAGTTCCTCAGGCTAAGCACACTTTTTTTGGTACTGTTTGCAAAAGGAATTTTGTATGTGATTTCTTCTCAAGGGCATATTGAGAGATAGAGTAGACAATGTCCTCAAAAACATCCTCAGAGCAAATGCAGTATTAGGTTTTCTAACATTGTTTCTTAGGGTATATTTTGATAAAAGCAGAGGAAGTATCGGTATAAATTAGAGAAATTAACATTGCTAGTAGCCAAAAATATATGTGGTTTAGTTTTCTAATAAAAATAACTTAAAATTTCATAAGTAATACAATTTCAATATAGTAAGATCAGAAAATACAAATAAGTAAAGTTATGAGTTCAAAATCACCCTTATACCTACCATTTAAAGATAACATTTAATGAATAAAACGAGTATTTTACATACACATACTTAATCCTTTTCTTTGTTTTTATTCCTAAAAATCAGATTATATTGTACATATGATCTTTGATCTGCTTTGCTTGTTTAGCTTAAGGTCTTTGTAATTATATTATGCTGTATTTAACCAATCTACTCTTATGGGAAATTTAGTTTATTTATTTATAATTTATTTTATTTGCTGGTATAGTGGCAAAATAATTGAATGCATCACAGAGTATTTCTTGGAGTGACTTTCTAAAGGAAAAATGATGGTGGAAGCCTACATATTTGTGAGAGTACATATGTGGAACAAAATCACACCCCAAAATTATTGTAAGCAGCAGTGTATGAGAACGTGTTATCTCTATATCCTTTACCGTGCTCATTTTCCTTTTTAAATCTTTGACCATGAAGATTTTTTATATTTTGTGTTAACTTTTGTCATATATGTTAAATAATTTTCCCTTTTTGTCATATATACTTTAATTTTGTTCATGGTATTTTGTGAATGTGCAAAACTTAACTATATTCTTATGAACTCTCATGTGACAACCTTTGCCAACTTTATTATTTAAATTCAAAATTAAGTGCCAAAAGGCTTTAACAACTACAGAGTTATATAAATATTATCTTTCTTAATATTTATTTTAGGTTTCATTTCATCCTCATTTCCCCACATTTAACTCCAGTCCATTTATTGTGGTGCATAGCTTGGTAAATGATGAAGTACTTGTTTTCATTCCTTTGGCATGTATCCCAGTAACATTATTGAACAAGCCATTTTTCCCAGCTGATTGAATTTTTTTCCTTTAGAAAACAATAATAATTTCTAAAATGTGTGTTTCTTTACAGCTGTTCCTTTCAATTCCTTTTTCTGTCTTGTCCTATACTGTTAGTTTAGTCTTGCAATTATTCTAGCATTAAATAATGTTAAATTATTAATGCTAGAATAATCGTAAGACTAAACATTAAACTTTATAAGTTACTTTGGGATAATTTGCATTTTAATTGACATTTATAACTTTGAGTGATTGCTGTTAACGTATATCACCTCTCAGTAAAGTTCTATAATTTCCTTCCTAATGCTCTGAACATTTCTGTTAGATGTATGCCAATGTATTTTTGTTGTTGCTATTGTAAATGATGTTTTTTCCTCTTCTGGCTTTTTTTGTTAATATTTTAGGAAACTTAGTTTTCTAGTCTTAGACTCTTCTATTACCAGTCACCCTACTGAACCCTGAGAGTTATTTATTAAATTAATTCATTTGTTATCTCAACTACCTCAATTGTCACCATTTTAATTGTGTATAAACCAGTGGATAGTTATTGTCAAAGGTTAAAGCAGTTTCTAATAAAATAGGAATTCCAAAATATTAACATCTGCTAAGCATAAATTGCTTTCTGTAATGACTGAGATATTGTAAAATCCATAACTCCATTTTGACAGAGTGTCAGGTAAAAATTTTTGGTTTTTGTTTATTTTTGTCCCTGTTATACATGCCTTTGTCATTAGGCTGCATGTTTAGCTAGAGATTGGGACTTCTCAAACTAGATTTTAAGCTTGAAAGTTCACTTGGAAAAGTATGAAAATCAGATTCACATTTACCTTCAGTTTCATCCATGTTGCCACAAATGACTGGATTTCATTCTTTATGTGATTAGTATCGTATTGTGTACATATATCACATTTTCTTTATCACATTTTCTTTATCTATTCATCAGTTGTTGGACACAGGTTGATTCTATATATTGACTGTCAGGAATGTCTTTTGTAGATGTCTCTTTGATTCAATAATCTCCTTTCCTTTGGATAAATCCCCCAGTAGTAGAATTGTCGAGATATCTGGTAATTCTATTTGTAGTTTGTTGAGGAACTGCCATAGTGTTCTTCATAGTGGCTATACTAGTTTACATTCCCATCAGTGATGTAGTCTCTTTTCTCTGCATCCTCACCAGCATTTGTTATTTTTTGTCTTTTTTATAATAGCCATTCTAACTGGGGTGAGATGATACCTCATTATGGTTTTGACTTGTATTCCCCTGATGATTAGCAATGTTAAGAGCATTTTTTAACATATTTGTTAGCCATTTGTATCTCTTCTTTTGAGAAGTGTCTGTTCAGATCATTTGCTCACTTTTTAATCGATTGTTTGGGTTTTTTGTTGTTCTGATGTTTGAGTTCCTTGTATATTCTGGATATTAATTCTCTGTCAGATGAGCAGTTTGTAAATATTTTCTCTCATTCTGTAGATTACTTTTCACTCTGTTGTTTCTTTTGCTGTGCAGAAGCTTCTTAGTTTTATATAATCCCATTTGTTTAGTTTTGCTTTTTCTGCCTATATTTTTAGGTTTAATTCAAAACATATTTTCCTAGACCCATGTCATGAAGCATTTTCCCTATTTTTCTTCTAGTAGTTTTATCAGGGCCTTTGATTCACTTTGAGTTGATTTTTTTTATAGATTGAGAGGTGGGGGCCTCATTTTATTCCTCTGCATAAGGATATCCAGTTATCCAGTTTTCACAGCACCATTTGTTGAAGAGATTACCCTTTTTTCCTAATGAGTGTTTTTGGCACCTTTGTCAAAAACAGTTCATTGTAGATATGTAATTTCTGGGTTCTCTGTTCTTTTTGATGGATGTATATGTCTGTTTTT